ACCGTCCTGTCGCATGGACTTCGCATTTCCGCCCTCCGCGCGCGCTTTTTTCCCAAATAATTGCGAGGCAAGAAAAACAATTCATTTTTTTCTGCAGTAATTTTTTTTATAAAAAAGATTACCAATTTGAACTCTAGACTGTTGAAGGCAACTGACGCATGCGGGTAATAACACGCGTCGGCGAAGCGATGCTGCAATCGCTTCTTGAGCGAGCGGGGGGTGCAACAGTTTATGGGCTCATAACTATCGACAATCCATCTAGAGTGAGAAAAACAGCATCAGCGAGAAAGACGTCCGCGATCAGCAGCTAATTGAATCGCTTTCGCTATCGAGCTATCGAGTTGGAGGGCTGATAACGTGGTGGCTGGCAGGGCGGGCGGGCGCCTCGTAACCTCGATGTGTGACTATCGAAGTCATCGCGGCAAAGCATCGAATGAAGGTTAACTATATTTTGCGCTATGACGGCTCCGACGCGATAATATGTGTGTTGAACGCTCTGACGTCACGCTGACACAGTGGTTCACCAGTCGGCGCGAACAAGTCAATAAGTGCGAAGTACTTTCTTTCTACGACAAACATCCGGCATACAGAAAATGTAACGAAAAATAGTGAGAGGTATCTGGGAAATGGGCTACGTTGATTTATTTCAAAACGCCGTTTTTCTTATACCGACATTATGATAAGTTTTGGGGTTTGGTGAGACTCTCGGTGATACTAACTGAAAAGACATTGCGGACGTCGAAGGAATCTGGAACCGCCCTTGACGAAGATAGCGCCCGTCACGCTTCTAGTCACGCCGAGCCCTGCCTCCCTTACCTGTACTGATACTGATTGGCGAAGACGAGCGGCTGCGCCGTCTTGTCCGCGTACGAGCGGCCCGTCTCAAAGTCACTCGTCTCCGAGTCAAAGATGATGCCGCCGACCCTGCGGGGAAAGCGAAAGTGGCGCAAAGCGACAGAGAGGGCGTTAGAGACAAAAAGCAAAAGAAGAGTGAGAGAGGCTGAAAAAACACAACTCAAGCACAGTTTTTTTGTTTTTTGGGGATTTTACGACTAGGAATTTTGGAGTCCGTCATTTTCCCGGAAAAAATTGACACTCTGTTCCAGAAAAAAATGGAAAAATTTGAAATATTTTCAGAAAAAATGTAAGATTTCAGATTACAAAAATAGGCATCTAAAACAAAATGCTCGTCTTGTTTTTTTTTGTTTTTTTTTTTCTTTCAAAACTACTTCTCCGGAAAATGAAAATCCCTATTTAAGACAAGACTGTCGTTGAGCGTGAAGTGAAGAACGCAGATTTGTTGTGCGAGGGGTGCGTGAGCAAACGAGAGAGCAAATAAGAACAAGTAGGGGAACAATTAGTGTTGCGATAGTGCGTCAAAGACAGAGAAGGCAGGCTTGGCGACAGGTGACTTGGCGCGGCCACAGTCCGTCGCATCCGGGGGCCGCCGGGCGCGGCGGGATGCACGTGGTGGGGCACGCTTTGTGCGGATGGAGGCGGGTAGAGGGTCTCCCTAGTCGGGTCTCCCTAGTCGGGTCTCCCATCATGGGCCCAGGTTGAGGGGGAGCCATGAGCCATCAGCTGTTTGCGCGCGCTATCGCCGTGAGCCCACCCCTCCTAGGCGCGCCTCCACGAGGCACACACACACACACACACTACTGATAGAGGTATGCGGCCGCCGAAAATATTTGCAGGGTGCCCCCGTATGACCGTCCATCCCTCTGCCTCGTGGGCAACACGCCGCACTGCCTCTGGGTCTGGGGGAGCAAAGGTGCACTCTAAATGGCTCGGCAGCTTTACATGCCAAAATATTGGCAATCCTTTGTACGACTACCAAAGTTCGACATTATACTTTAGAAAAGGCATTTTTTTGCCATTGTTTTACCTTTTCTGAGAGTGACAAAATTTCGCCTCCTCTTAATCAATGCCAAAATGTTGCCACCCCCGTGAATGAATGCCAACATTTGTAAGTCTCTCAAAGAATGCCAAAGTTAGGCAGTCAACAATGAATGCCAACATTTTGGCGCGCATGGCGCCCAATGGCGCTTAGAGTGTACGCCTCCTGGCTTGAGGTCTTGGTCTTGGGGTGAGGTGAGGCGCCATGATATGAACCTTTTTCAGGGTTGCATCGGAGTATGCCAGTCCTTTCTGACTTTTTTTATGAAAACCATTAAACCGTCTCCCGACCCGAGCGTGCCCAACTTGTATTGGCAGTTTTAACACTGCTTTGGGCGAGAATGCCCTCAAGGACCTAAGAAGCATCCAGAAAATACGTCCGGCGTTTGCCGTTACGAAACTGTCCAGTTCAGCCACTTCAGGCAATTCAAGCTTTCATAGCGCCTGGTAGGTAGGCAACATCTTGTCTGCGGTGCACGCGTGCACTGCTGGGTGGCCTCTACCGAGTTTCGCAGGCGCCGAGCTCCCGGATTTTGCCGAACGAATCTGAGAAAAGTGGACGTACTTTATGGACGACCCCTTATAAGGACAAAAGATTCTACCAAAGAGTTTTTCAACTGTTAATTCAGGCTGCTAACAAAATCTAAATCAATATTAGGTCATGGATAATGTACAGACGACAAATACTAATCTATAAAGCCCATGTTGACCGTTGTCCGCTAGATATTTTTGAAAAAAAAAATGGCCATGGTCGGAGTAAACATTGACAATAACGGCTGCCTTATAAATGTCTCCAAAAATAGAGATGCCAAAACTTTGCGGCTTTCTAATTAAATATTGGAATTTCTGGCAAAACTGTGGAATTTGTTTACTCCCCTTGGCGAGAGCGTCGCCAGAGGGGGAACGGTCACCGAACCGAACACCAAACCGGTTCGGTTGCAGGTGCCTCCCCTCTCCCCCCCTCAACTCCTCTAAAAGAAGCGAACACTGGAAAAACTTGTCCGAATATAGGAGCGCCGCTTCCCCTGGATATTGTCCTCATACCAAGCCCATCTTGTCCTTGGCCTTGCTCAAACCCTCCGGCACGTGGACTTCCCTAGCTAATCCCTTTCGCAGCTGCAGCTGCTGCCAACCGCAGCTGACAGGTGTGCGTGGGGGCGCGCGGGGAGGGAGGGGGACTTCCGCGTCGGACTTTTCATGCATCGCAATCAGGACCGTCTGCAGTTCGCGTGCGGCCGCGTCGGTCGAGCGGTACTTATGACGGATTAGTAAGGGGAAGAGAATAAGTAGCTTACAAGGCTCGCCTCGCACGCGGGGGTGAGCCAGCGTCAGATGGGGGACGGGACGACTTGACTTAACTAACCGCGCGAGGCCTCTGTTGGCCCACCACCACTACGGTATATCCCGCTTGACTTATTACTTTGCAAACTCTGATTAATAATTTGGGCATGCGGACCAAATTCGTTCGCAAACAAATCTCGTCGCCAACCACTCTCTCCTAGAGTGAAAAATAACGGTCATGCAGTCGATATCATTACGATGCACTTAATCGTGCCACGACGTGCATTCAACTTTTCCGAGATCGTTTTCGAAATTCTGCTCATGACGACGACCCCCCCCCCCTCTCATAGTGCACTTTGCGAGATGAATTGCCTAATCTGTCTAACCGCAGCTGCTCATCGGCCTTATCGAGTCCTCGCGTCACATGGGCCTCATCAGTCTGCCAGAGATTTGTAATTTTCCCGGTAACAGGTTCACTCGAGTGCGCCTCTCTCTAACCTCACCTCCTGCCGCCCGCTATCGCTCAGGTTAGAAGCACCGTCACCTCCTCCACCTCGCGCAATAGACATGAGATATACCAGATAGACGGACCGCTCCCACCGCCTGCTCGGCGACACAGCACACCACGCAGGACACACTCTCCACAACACACCACAACAACGGCTACTACTCACCCGACGAAACTCCGACGGCTTCCTCGGCTCGCGTCCGAGGACAGCAAGGGCTGCGACTCGCTGCCCGAGTCCGCGTCAGCCTGGTCGCGCCGCCACGACGGCCTGGTGTTCCTGTCGTACATCCTGCAGGAGGTGGATGGCGCGGCGAAGCACTGCTGGGCGCTGCTGCTGCTGCTGCTGTTCCTGCTGAGTGCGTGGCCAGCACCTGACTCCCGACGGGGCTCAGCAGCTCATATCGGTCGAGTCCGTGTCCTGCGGATCGGGCGCTCGGCTCGGCTCGGCGCAGGAGGAGGGTCTCTGGGCTCGGACTGCTGTTCCTCGTCTACTCCGACTCCCCCGTCATGCCAGTCTGACTGGAACTGAAGTGAGCGTCGGCACCGGGGCCAGGCCGGGGCGGGGCACCCAGGCGGCGGGCCCGGCAGGGCAGGGCCGGGCAGCGGCCAGGGGGGGAGGGCCAGGCCGGCAGGGCCGGGAGAATAAAGCCAAACAAAACAAGGGGACCAGCACGAGCAGGGCAGGGCCGTCTAAGCCGCACGACACCGTACGAGCAGGCGGAGCGGGCACCGAGCAGGAGTTACGTAAACACCGAGGAGGATCGAGTTACGTAAGCCGCACGCACCACGGCCGTACGCGCCCACCTCCGGAGCCTTCCTGCTTCGAGCTTGCCGGGCGAGCGCCGCTTCTGATTGGTCGGCGCGTTCGGCGCTGCCAACGCAAGAAAAACGAAGCCGACCTCAATGGCGGCTGTAGGTAACCCCTTTTCCTCACAAATTCAAAGAGAGCTACTTTGAACTTAAATTTAACTTAAATAAACGCATGGTATTCCCAGTTTTGATCGTAAAACTGCCTTAAAAGCCCACGTCAAATTTCGCGGTTGGGTTGGTAGCGCCGAAAGCAGACGACGGAAAACAAAAAATTCACTCGAGACGGGGGGTATTGCCGCGCGGAATGACAGGACGGAAATGGCAGCGGGTATTTACGGAAATTTTCGCCAAAACTCTACCGGTCCCTGTCATCCTCGGGGGAAGTTCCCGCCCTCACCGGGCGCCGGTCCGGCACACAGGACCCGGGTGGTTTTTGCCGCCGTTATGTTATCGACCGCTGGCTCGCGGCGCCAAGGGCACCTTGGGGCGCGCCTCTCTTGTCTGTCCTTCAGCACCGGTCATTGGTCCGCTCGTCCACAGCCTCAGTCTGCTCCTGCTTGTCGGTCGGCTCACTCCCGGCTGATTTCTCGCGGTCCTTCTGTGCTCTCGGCCGCCTTTCGAAATGTCGTTGAAAGTCGTCAAAGTCGAGACCAAAGTGTACGATGGCCAGAAGCCCGGTACCAGCGGCCTGCGGAAGGCTGTCAAGGTGTTCCAGCAGGTGCACTACACGGAGAACTTTGTCCAGTGCATCCTGAGTGCCCTGGGGAAGGATTGTGCCGGCAGCACCCTGGTCGTCGGGGGTGACGGTCGTTACTTTGGAAAGGACGCCGTTGACAAGATCATTAAGATTGCAGCTGGCAACGGGGTATGTGCTCCTTTCATGGCCTTGGCTGTCTGAACCGGGCCGGCCGGTCCCCACCGTTGTAACCTCACCTACATACTTTTTACCCGATCCCTCGAAGTGTCAAAATATGTGGGCCGTTGTTTGTCCTGTTATGGTTGATATGACAGTGGGATTTGTTTGTTTGGAAGTATGTTTTAGCTCTTTGTTGTACATGTTATGTTTTGCTCTTATGTTCCAGGTGTCCAAATTGTTGATTGGTCAGAATGGCATCCTCTCCACTCCTGCAGTGTCATGTTTGATTCGCAAGTACAAAACTACCGGTGGTATTGTTCTGACAGCTAGCCACAACCCTGGTGGCCCAGACAATGACTTCGGAATTAAATTCAACTGTTCCAATGGCGGTAATTTTCATCACAAGTTGTCAGTTCACCTTGCATAGCTTAGCTTAGTTTGGCACGGACATTTATAATTATACTTCTTTTAGGCCCTGCTCCTGATGCTGTCACTGATGAAATCTTCGCTCTTACCAAAAAAATCACTACTTATTCCACTGTTCCCGACCTGAAGTGTGCTATTGATAAAATTGGTGTTCAAACATTTGAGGTATGGTTATCGAAATTTATAGTGGACTGTTAAGGGTCTCAGGCACATAAGGGCTTTATCTATTTTACTTGTGCAGGTTGAGGGGAAAACTTTCACTGTAGAGATCATTGACTCAGTGTCTGATTACCTTGAACTTATGAAAGAAATCTTTGATTTTGGTGCTTTAAAGAAGCTACTTCAAGGAGGTTTCAAGGTTCTTATTGACTCAATGAATGGAGGTGTGTTTCAAAATTTCATTCAATATTTTTGGTCTCTTAGATTTCTATTCAATATGTTTAACTGATGTGCTTGTTTGCTATTTTTCAGTTACTGGTCCCTATGTCCAAAGAATATTTGTTCAAGAATTGGGTGCACCTGCTGATAATACAGTTCGCACAACACCCCTCGAAGATTTTGGAGGCCACCACCCAGACCCCAATCTCACTTACGCAGCTGATCTCGTGAAATCTGTTGCCAGTGGAACCTATGACTTTGGTGCAGCCTTTGATGGTGATGGAGTAGGTGTTGTTTCTACCTCCTTTATTTTTTGTTTCTTTTTTAAAATTGTTTGCTAATATAGCATTTTGTTTTAGGACAGGAACATGATCTTGGGTCGCAAAGCATTCTTTGTTACTCCCTCAGATTCTCTTGCTGTCCTAGCAGCCCATTTGGATTGCATTCCCTATTTCAAGAAGACTGGAGTGAAGGGCTACGCTCGTAGTATGCCAACAGGAGCAGCAGTTGATCGGTAAATTTGATTTGAAAATCATGACTAGCTGACTTCATTGATTATACAACGCATGGTGTATGGCACTGATATTTAAAATGTAGGGGAATCCCTCTACATGTTCGAATGTCCTGCTTTTGAGAATTTTATTTAACTTAATAAATCTTTCAGTGTGGCTGCAGCTACAAAGAAAGAATTCTTTGAAGTTCCGACTGGTTGGAAATATTTTGGAAATTTGATGGATGCTGGTCGTCTTTCTCTTTGTGGCGAGGAAAGTTTCGGGTAAGTTATCTAAGACTTTTCAACAGACAAGAACAGTTTTTTGTGGTATAATCTTAGTTTTATCCATCTATCTATGTCTTATGTTTTCATTCCTCTCACAGTACAGGATCTGATCACATCAGAGAAAAAGATGGAATCTGGGCAGCTTTGGCATGGCTGTCAGTCATTGCTCACACCGGCAAATCAGTGGAAGATACCTTAATGGCACACTGGGCTGTCTATGGCAGAAACTTTTTCACAAGGTAACCTTTTATTAGATAAATTCCACTCTGCCTTTGTATTCTGCAACTGAACTCTGACCTGA